AGAATTTTAGTGTAGGCCAGGCATGGTGGCTCACGCCTGTAATCCCAGCACTTTAGGAGGCTGAGATGGGTGGATTGCCTGAGGTCAAGAGTTCAAGACCAACCTGACCAACACGGTGAAACCCCATCTCTACTAAAAATAACGAAAATTAGCCGGGTGTGGTGGTGAGTGCCTGTAATCCTAGCTATTTGGGAGGCTGAGGCGGGAGAATCACTTGAACCCGGAAGGCAGAAGTTGCAGAGAGCTGCGATCGCACCACTGCACTCCAGCTTGGGCGACAAGGGCAAAAACTCTGTGTCAAAAAAACAAATTAAAAAAAGGCCGGATGCAGTGGCTCACACCTGTAGTCCCAGCACTTTGGGAGGCTGAGGCGGGCAGATCACGAGCTCAGGAGATCGAGACCATCCTGGCTAACACAGTGAAACCCCGTCTCTACTGAAAACACAAAAAATTAGCCGGGTGTGGTGGCGGGCACCTGTAGTCCCAGCGACTCGGGCGGCTGAGGCAGGAGAATTGCTTGAACCTGGGAGGCGGAGGTTGCAGTGAGCCAAGATAGCGCCATTGCACTCCAGCCTGGGCAACAGAGCAAGACTCTGTCTCGGAAAAAAAAAAAGAAAGAAAGAACAAAGACAAGAAAGAAGAAGTTGCCTAAGTGAACAGCTTTTACAAAGTCTACAGTAGTGTACAGGAATGTCCTAGGCCCTCACACTCACTCCCTCACTGATCCACCTGGGGCTACTTCCACTGCAGCAAGCTCCATTCACGGCAAGTGCCCTGTACAGGTGCACCATTCTCAGTCATTTTTTACTGTACCTTTTCTACACTTAGATACGTTTAGATACACAAACCCATTACCATCGTGTTACAATTGCCTACAGTATTCAGTACAGTAACAGGCCTCACAGGTGTGCAGCCAAGGAGTACGAGGCTACACTGTACAGCCTACGTGTATAGCGGGCTGTGCCCTCCAGGTGTGTGTAAGTGCACTCTGTGACATTTGCACGATATTGAAATTGTCTAATGATGCATCCTCATGGTTATGCATCCTGCAACTGTACATTAATCTCAGCCCCTCCCCTTATTAGCACCAGGGGGCAGAGATGTCATCTCGCCTGCTTCCCATCTGCCATGGATCAACTGCTTGTTAGGTCACCTGGGATTGGTGCAGTGTAGATCACGGTTAGGTTATTCCTGATCTCTGGGGCAGATTTGGTCTGGGAACTGGCGCCACACAGAGGTTGACCTCCAGTCACCAAATATCTAAAAGGAAAAGGGCACTGTTCAAAAGGTGTCCTGTGAAAGCTGGTGCTTTTGCAGCTCTATGTGGGCTGTACTTGGTGGGGATGCCAGAGGGGAGGAAGTGGTTGTTTTAAGTCCCTGCGGTCATCTGGCTCCTGCAAATCATTTCTTATCCTTTAGGAGTTGTTTCTGTGTTAAAGTACAGAGACCAAGAGCCAGAGTTTGGAGCCGGGTTCTAGGGTTCTGATCCTGGCTCTAATTTTCTAGCTGTTTCATCTTGGATGAGTAATTTAATTTTCACAAGACCCAAATGACTTTTGTGTTAAATCTCCATAGTACCTCCAAGGGTTATTGTTAGGACCAAATCGGGGTGGCTTTGAAGGGCATAGCACAGTGTGCTGTGTGGGATCAGGGATTAATAAATGTTGACGATCATTTGCTTGGTTGTGGGGAAGCTGATTAAATTTGCTGCACGTTGTGGTGCATCTTCCTTGATTCCTTCCCCCTGCCTGCGGAGCCTTGAGCCAGACCTCAGTGAACACAGCTAGCAGCCGACCCAAGCTATTGCAAGGGAGGCCATGACAGAAGGGATAATGAGTTTGAAAGATACACCTGATGGAAAGGCAAATCCCTTTCAGGAGGAGAAAGAGGAAGATGGAAGGCCGGGTGCAGCTGGACCACAGCACCCTAGACTGCTAGAAAAGAACTACCTGGGGCTGGCAGTCCTGACAGAGCCATTTAATCAGCCGACAGTGGCCAGGCTGGACGTCCATCCTCCTGAAGCTGGCCCCTCCCTGGCACAGTGGGGACGGTGGGTGCCAACGTCCTGACGGGGTTGCCTCACGAAAGCAGGGAAGACAACTGCAAACCACAGACAGCCCCAGTGAACCATCAGGGCCCAGCCCATGAGCAATGCAGAATCTCTCCTTTCCTGATATGGGACAGAGGCTTTGAGAAGCCCACCTGTCCCCTCCTCTGATCCCATTTCCCAGATGCTACCCAAATCCCTGTTTGGCAATCACTTTCACTCAGCACTCGAGCTGTGGACTCAGTCTTTATCTTCTCTTTAATAGAAACATGGCAAAGTGTTGTCCCTACAGCCTCTTTGGCTATAAGCCGGGAACTGTGAATCCAACAGACCAACATAGAAGCAAAAATGCTCCTCCTGGGAAGAAGAGACAAATAACAAGCTTTTTATCAAGAATTAATCCCTACAATATGGTCTGATGTCAATACAGACTCAGGGATATCTTCCGCTTGTCTTTCACTACCATACAATAAAAATATAAAACTGATAGTGACCCCAAGAGGTCCAAGATCACTCATCAGGAGAGAATTATCTCCTTTGTACATTGTCTTTAGGCAGGAGAGCAGAGCTGTGCATTTTGTTCGACATATTCTACAAGAGCTGAAAGGAGGGCTTTGGATTGGTTCACCTCAGTCACCCTACAGACAGGGCTTGCAGGAAACCCTCCAGCCTTCTCTAGGTGCATCGTCTAATAACGGTTGTTGTTGCAATCTGGCACGGAAACAGGATTAGGTATTTTGAGCAATTACTATTGTTTATGATTCATATACATTTCTAACCTGATAAAATATTAGCAGTCAAGCATAAACAAAAGTGTTTCACAAATATTTGATTTGCATAATAGAGACTCAAAGTCAATGAATGTCTACATTTCTTACCGTGGTATAAACAACGTTTGCTATTGAAATGGAAGCAAAATAATTCATTAATTGCCACTTCTTCCTTCTCTTATATGGAATGTTTCTTGCTCTAGATAGCATATGCAGAGTGTGTTGTATATAATGTATAATTTAAGTGACACCTGAGAGGTGTTAAATACATACTGAGTGATAAGAATAACGAGGCTTATTCATCTTTTGAAAACATTAATAAAACCCTCAGCTGGAGATTAAATTAATATTATAATAACATTGTTCTCCAACTGGGGTATACAGAATCCTGGGAGAGTTGGGGAGTATTTGAAGCCACCAGAAAAATGTGGCACATCTTCCTCAAGCTTCGCTTTACTGAAGACTATGAACTTTTTTAAAGAGTAAGACACTCGCGATTTATGGAGTAAAAGTTTTCACATGGATTTTCAGGTAGAATAGACTTAAACTTTTACCCTTGATTCTAGTGTCACCTCTCCAGACTCCTCTTGTCTGAATTTTTCTTCTCTGCCATGGAGTACTTAATAAAGCTTTTGAAGCACTTCCCTTATTAAAACACAAGAATACGATAGCAGTTCTTGTTCTCTCTGATTTCGAGTAATAATGGGGAAAAGTAACTTAAGTAAGTGAACAGTCTGTATTTTAAAATACTTATAGGTTTAGCACTTCAAGTGATATATACAGAAGTAAGAAAAATCTAAGGATGTTTCTAAATAAATTCTTCAATTCTTATCACTAAATTTCTCAATGAATCTGCTTGAATGCATAAAGATCTGCATTTAGCATATTAAAGGTGACTTCACAGGTATCTAACATTTCTTTATCTGCTCACATTCTTTTGATAAAGCTAGTCTTTGCAATAAAGACAAGACTAAACTTCAAGCCAAGACCACATATAAATTATCACAAATTTCCTATGTTCGAATTCTTAATTGATATAATTTATTATATATAACATACTACATGAATTACAATAAATCAGAGATTATTATATCATTCTTTAATTCATGCATTTAGAGAGTCAGGGACATAGCAGACCACAGGCAGTTTTATTGCCTAGGATTGTTTTTAAAGTTTCGTATAATGGCACTGGTTTTACATGATCATCCAAATGCTGCATCATCACTTCACTGCCTCACCTCACAAATTATACTGTCAATTTGTAGAGAACTGGGGTTACATTTTACCATTGTTCTATCTTTGTCATTGCCCACTAGCCTTGGCCTCCTAGCAGGTATTCACATATCAACAAAAAATAGCAATTAGCAAATTTATCAAGGATGCCCTTAAAGTGCCTGTGTTTGGTGAGTGTGCCTTCATACTCATTGGTCATGAGATGCCCAACTCTATAGCAGTTGTTTTACTCTAATCTCATGATTTGAGGATAAAGGTCTTTGCCTAGAAACACTTGAACATATTCCACACACGTGAAACCAGTAGCAAATTAGCAAATTTGACAGATTCTATGAAACCGGTAGACTTTTTTACTGTTTATAAACTGTTGCTTCAAAATGAAAGGAAGTAGTTGACCCTCAGTGCCTGCTTCATGTCAAGGGATTGGATTTTGGAATAAACTAGTCAGCTAGAACACCTGCCTCTTTTACAGTTGTGTGTGTGTGTGTGTGTGTGTGTGTGTGTGTGGTTGCCACAAACAAAACCTTAAAGTTAATATTCCCTGCTTTCATGGATAGGACTATGTACTTTAATATATTTGGAGACGGTGTTTTGTGGTCAACTATTGGGACATATCCCATCAGTATGAGGGTATATGTACTAGGACCATATAGGAGAATATTTGAAATGCGGGCTGTTCCAGAAAGCCTGGAACTGTGGTCTCCTATCCCCAGATGTCTACATCATGACTTGTTCATTCTTTTCTATCCATTCTCAACCTGCCCATATCATTTTACCTCCTCCTTCTTATCTGACTTGTTTGACTTCTTTAGGACAATGTCGACCACCATGCCGAAGTGAATTTGGGGAGGAAAGGACACTTTGTGGGCAAAGACCGTGGCTGTCAGCACAGAGAAAGGGACAGTAGGTGAGTTAGATACATCATGTCACCAAAACTCTGTGAGGAGTCATATTCTTACTGAGGAGGTGGAAAACAGGCCAGTGCAGTTCTGAAGATGACCCTGGAGAATGGTGAGGATTCATCTGGTCCACATGGCTGTTGGGTGGGGATGGGAAATGAATGAACTGGGAATTCCGTTGAATTCTGGGAAGAAACTTCTTTCGATGCTGGTCCTCTCCCTCAGTGTTGCCTAGAAAAGAAGTTCTTGAAGGCGCTGTTGTAGTTCTTGTTGAAAGCCGTATAGATCAGGGGGTTAAAGAAGGAGTTGGAGTAGCCAAGCCACAGGAAGATGCTTTTCCAGATAGCGGGGATGTCACAGGAGCAAAGAGGACTGATGAGCTCCGTGAGAAAGAAGGGGATCCAGCAGAGTGCAAACACACCAATGAGGATGCCCACCATGAGGGCGGCACGCTGCTCCTTCTGCTCTCGCCACGTGTCCCCTTCTGTCTGGAAGGTGACGGTGGCATGGCGGACCGTGAACACCATCTGGGGCTGTTGGGCAGAGTCCTTCACCTGGAAAAGACAAGCAGGAGCTTTATGAGGAGCCACCTCAGTCTACCTCCAGGCTGAGCCTAGACACTGACAGTCCTGGATTCCGCACATCCACTCGAGGGAAAGTCTTTGATGGATAGGTGTGGGAACCTGAAGGCCTGTGGCACTTGCTCTCAGATATGGAAACCAGGCAACGGAGCTGGGGTGTTTGCTTACATCTTAGAAATGAAAGGACCAGATGTGATGAAATTGACAGCATGAAGATGGACTCCCTGTTGCTGTCTGTTCAACAGAGGCACTGGCAGAAACGAACAGGCAACTTGGCCTGCACAACTTAGTGGCAGAGGTGCACACATCGTCAAAAGTGTCCTAGGTTCCTAGCAAAATCCTGTTCGCTTAGGACCACGTTTTCTACCATCTTTATAACCTTATAGGCTCATGTAAGTCCCCTCTATAATGTTAGGACTTTCTAGAACTTCTCCTCTGGCACAAAGCTGTGCCCCATAGCATATTCTACTGCTTGATGCAGTCTAGTAACCAGGACATCTCTCTCTGGGTCTATTCTTCTTCTACCCCTGTATGTATGTAAAACTGAGACCCCAGTCTTTTTGTCTCACGTGGGTTCCCCCAAGGCCTCCACAGGGCAGGTTCCCACAGAATCAGGCTCTCCAGTTCACTTCCTTCTGTCAAGGAGTGGAATTCCTGGGAAAGGAAGCTCCTCCTCCCTTCTGGTCCTATTTTTAGCTCTTGGGAGAACTGACATAATGAGTGTCTACTGATGAGGCAGCCTTAATATGAAGCAATCATAAATTTACTGAATTAGCAAATTAATCGATCCAATCAAAATGTGGGACAGTTTCTGACTCAGTCATTCTCTGGTGGGTGAGATTGCATTGACATTAAATAGTATTCTTCCCCTCGCCAGCATACTGTGACTCTAGTACATTTAAAAAGATATACACAACTTGTTCTCAAAGAGCATATGATCTTTTAGGCAAAGAATTGTCAGGTTAATCTAACCCACTTAACTAATTCTTGGCAGCATTTATAAAGTGGACTCAAAAGGAATTGACTTACTGTCATATGGAATAACAGGTGGAAATAGGAACACTGTGGATAAGGCAATGTTAGTTGATGAATAAATTACCAAATTTGTAGAATAGCCTTGCTGACATTTATTTGCAAAACAGTATAATATCAAACACTAAATTAAATTTAAAAGAAGATAATAAATAATGAAACCAAAGGTCCGTAATAGTGCAACCTTTAAAAACACGTATAAAATAAGCACTGAAAAAATCCCTCTTTCTGTACCTCTAGATGAAACCAGAGTTACCTTTGGTTACTGATTTATCAAGGCACATCTGGAAATGCATTTGAGGGAATTCATTCATAGAAATCCAAACCATATTTAGCTTAATTTTTCAGCATAAAGGAAAGAAGGAAAGCTACCAATTTCCTTAACAGAATTCAACCCCATAATAATATCAGGGAAGCTGTTTTCCATACTGTCCCAAGACGCCAATAAAACAAGAATTGTAGCTGGACTCTTCAACCCTCTGGAAATTCTCCTTCCCCTTGGCACATTTTTATGAGTGACAATGGGGACACTGGTAACACTGGTCATACTTGAGACATGGTCACACTGTGGAGGCTGATCACATTGGTCACATAAAGGATGCTGGTAACACTGGAGATGCCGGCTATACTGTAAACATCATGGATTTTGATCATACTAGAGAAGCTGTTCACACTGGGGATGCTGGTCACACTGGAGATGCTATTCACACTGGGGAGCTGGTCACACTGAAGATTCTGTTCACACTGTGAATGCTGGTTACCCTGATGATACCATGGATGCCGTTCACACTGTGGATGCTGGTCACACTGGTGACACCATGGATGCCAT